ATTAGCAAAAAGAACAACAGAAATTTCAGCTTGCCAAATGCACATGCTACCACCTTTCTCAACCTACTTAAGCAGCTGAACATACCGGCAACTTTGCATGTTCCCTAAGAAACAAGGGGTAAGCAAGTTCAGCAAGTGTCAATAAGGGGGACATTCACTTCAGAGATCTGCAACGGGCCAGCTGGAGGTGCAAAAGTCTCCTGCAAGCTTGCATTCACAAATTGTTACTAACATGTCCCTCAATGAATGGTGTGGTTAAATGTACATTTTGGGCAGCAAAATTATTAAAGTAGTGCATAAGATTTTGCAGGGTAAAAGAATGCATTGCTGCTGAAATAAACTGTTTACAAATCTCCCAGGCAAAGCACAGGCATGTGTAACTATCATCTGCTCCACTGCTACGTGTTATGGTTTGAAAAACCCACAACAATTTATTGCCATATAGACAATTACCCTATCACCCAATGATCCCTCCCCACCCAGGAAGTGGAATCTCAGAAAAACAACGAAACACAAGGGTTGAAATATAAATAGATTTAATAGGATAAGACTAAATAATTAACATTAATAATACTAAAGAACCAGTATTGATCCCAATACAAATAAAAAACATACAAGGATTATAGTTGGCCAATTCTATTAGTAGGAAGCTGTGCACTCCCAGCAGTGGACAGCAAACATGGGACACTGCAAGCGCTATGGCTTCAGGAGGGAGGGAAGGGCTCAGGGGTCCAGCACTGGGGCAAGAATTCTCTGGATCGCCACCATCAAGGGAGAGAGAGAGCACTTTGCAGCAAACTTTCTAATTTATATTGAAAGTGACATTCATGGTATGAAATAATCCTGTTGGCCAGCTTGGGTCAAGTCCCCAGGTCTCATTCCTCCTCATCCCTGTATCTGGTGAGCTCAAAACCACCGAGACCTTGAAACCCACATACCACAGCTGCTTATAAAGTAAATATTTTCAAAAGTTCAGACACTAGAGTCTTCTAAAAATGCAGTTTTCCCTAGCATTAGAAGGGAAATAAGTCCTGTGCCACTCAGGAAACAACCCCATGCATGCACAAGCATAAATAATCTCCTGCATATGTAATATTTAGTGGCACATGGGCACGTTCCTGCACAGCTTTCAGCATCTCCACTTCCCAACTCCAAAATGACTGTCATATACCTCGGTAGATACAGAGAAAGACTGGCCAAGCATTAAGCAGTTTAACCACTGGTCATGACCTCTGTGTGCACCAGGCTAAATGCCTGTACCAGTCTATACACATGAAAAATCCAAAGCTGATGCCAAACCATAAACAGCAACTTCACTACCAATGTTACTGAGTACCCTCCCTGTCACTCTCCATCTGCAAAGTCTGAGGTTCTCATCCTTGAGCAGGACCAGTAGTTTGCATGACCATTTTTGTCCACTTCAGTGGAAAAGTCTTCAACTTAGCAGCCTTAATTGGCTAAGAAAGTTAAACTTGCTGGCAACATAATTGAAAAGATGAAGAATGCTGGAAAAAAGAAATAGGAAGAATCCATACCACAAAGGAAGTAGTAAATATCTAAAAGCCATAAACTCTAAATACCTGCAGCTACATTTATCATGTGCTCGCTCCACCTGTCACAAGCAATTCTCATTCTCATGTTCTGAAAAGTAGTATATATCCATGATATTTAGAGGACCATACAGACATTTAAATGTTGAATTTCAGTTAGTTAATCTGAAGTCATTATAAATGGTTGTATTTTATTTAACTTCTAAATATAAGAAGAAATATATATTACATAAAAAATGTAATTATTCTCCTTAATTCCAACAAATGAGTTGACTTTCTGATATGAGCTGCTTTAAAAAAAACAAAAAAAACAAACCACAAACAAAAATCACAACATCCAGAAAACAGGAGATTACACTGCAGTGTGCAGCATACTCATTATGACAGTTAATAATTCAAAGACATTTAAAAGCATTGTCCATCATAATATATAGAATGAAGATGAAAAAGCAAACAGGACAATTTTAACTGACCTATGTATATGCCATTAACAGCCTCTTTTAAAATGAGTATTTTTATTCTATCTAACAACACATTACTTGCCAGTACTTCAGCTGTCTAGGTTTTGAACTAAATTAGCAAGAAATTAGCAAGAGCAGTATCAGCTGGCCAAAAGCATTACTAGCTATATGATATTAGTGATGCTAACCTCCCTTGTATTTGTAGCAACAGCAAGTTCCAGAGAAGATGCAAAATTCAGGTGGCATAAACTTACTTTTCCAGAACAACAGATACTAAAAGATACAAAGCAAAACAAGATAACAAAAAAACACAGTAAGAAGCACAATGGCTCTTCTTGCTCTGAGGATGACAGCTTCCCTAGGAGAAAGATCACATTCTCTTCAAGACAGAACATGTCTATTTGTACAGCATGCATCACACAGTATCAGTGACAATTTTCACTAAAGTACAAATATCCACAGTTACCTTCTGTATGTTAACAGAAATCATTAGGAAGCAGTTTTATCCATCAGATTAATTCCAATGATTAACAAATTATATACATATACATATATATACACACACAGTAGCTTAAAGACAGGAAATTCTCAACTGCAAGTGGCAAATATATTTACACGTCTTCCAGTTTTCACAATACGACTTCACTAAATACTCCACTGTTCAAAATCTAAGGTAAATAGAAAAGTTGTGAACAGACTTTTAAGATGTCATACAAGTAACTTTTTTTCAGCTAAATAATTTAGAGCAACACCAATGCATCCAATAAATTAATCTCAAAACAATAAAAAAATAATAAACTGCAACCGGT